ATCTTTTCACGGTGTATAATTTACCTTTTTATCATTACTATTCGTCAAATTAGTTTTTTTCCAAACAGCCTACAAAATGTTATATTTACTCGTGACACATCATGGAATATCCCACTTGACACTTGTCACGGGGCTGCACGGCGGTACTCCATCAAAAGAGGGAGCTTATAACAGTGGGGGTCTCACTTTCACACTGAGAAAGTGGGGTTATAAGCTAAAGGAGGAGGGGGGTGGGGCTTATAACCGGAATTTCTGTGTGAAATCACGTCTATTTATTATCATAATTCAAGTACGCGGAATGACCGCAATTACCTACTAGCCTGTTCATTTGTCAAATCATGCTGAATACAGTGGATATTAGCTATTCCGAGGTTAAGGAAAAACCTGGGTCGAGTTAGCATTGCAATGCATTTTGGAGCGGTTTTAGTGGAAGAAAGAGACACCAATTCGCCCTGCTTTTTCCTCGACTTTGGAATGGCCAATTGAAGAAAGTGAATATCGAGATAATAAATAACACTAAATCCTGGCTGCTTCGAATTCTCTATCACATCTACAGGTAAAACTAAATCAGATGGCTTTGACCAACACATCGACAAAGGATTGCTGTCTTCAAGCAACTAAAGATATCATCAACCTCAAAAACAAGGTATACTGACAGTCAAAACATCATCAGATACCGAATACAGCGTTTTCACTCACGTGACAAGACAGCCGTATTGGTGTACCAAACAATAGAAACTTTCTGCACAGTTTTGGCATAAAAATAGAGTCCCATTCCCCGAGGTTAGAAAATGTATTGTTCTGGTACACCAACATGGACGCTGTGACACGTCACGTGAAAACGCTTTAAAGAATAACATACAACAGTTCAGGTCAAACGTCGAACTTAACATGAGCCGAACATAATTGAAGCAATAGATAACAAGGCGGTATAATTTTATGTATTTAGGTTCGGCTCATGTGAAGTTCGACGTTTGACCCGACCCTGTTTGTGTAATAACATATGAACAACGAAAAATATAAGATATATAGAGGATATTGGACGCGCAAAGATACGAAATTTATCTTCGAGTGTTGAAAAGATCTCTCACGAGTGAGCGCGTTCGTATCTGCAAAGAGAAATATAGGTATTTTATAGATAAGTATATGATAAGAAAATTTATTTGTCTGTATAAGATCCTTTTTAATATTATAGCCTATCAATTTTTTATTCTTTTGTAGCTGAATATAACGACATTTGAAATGAGATCAACGGACCAGACTTTGCACAATACCATAATGCATATCAACACYTCTCTTACCGATCAGGTACGAAAACATATGAAAAATGTTTTGATATAAGAAATGCTGAGGTCAGAAAGACCCATGGGAAACTGAACACCGTTACACCTTATGCATACTAAACACGTTTCAGCACCTTTGAGTATTTAAATTGGTTACAAGCTCGATTACACTATAACTTTATCTCTAACCAGGTAATCATCTTTATATGGTATAGAGGCTTTGCACCATCACGTGACGGCAGCCATGYTAGATGGCAGGAACAAGACGACACAATTGTTTTACATGAGAAAGAATTCAATTCTCCAGAGCAAAGGGATTTTATTGTTCTGCCATCTAATCACAGGTAGTCCAAGCTGTATTATGGGCGAGGGCACGTGATGGTGCAAAGCCTCTATTGATTGTAAATGGTCGGGAACAACTGATTGAAATCCAAAGTATTATCATGTAAGGTTTTGAGCTTTAATTTGTATTTCCAAACAGCCTATAAAATGTTATGTATACTCGTGACACCCCATGGAATATCCCGCTTGACACTTGTATATTTTTTGTATACACACACTTCCTTTCTATATTTCATCCCATGGAACTTATATAGAAAATACAAATGCGTAGATTCAATGCGTAGCGACGAATTTAGAGCGGCTTTCCTGAATTCTGATTGGCTGTATTTTCTACGGTTTGGGATAAATACCTGAACTTAATGTATGTTTTTGTTTTACTAGATATCAAACGTCAGTAAGCAAGAAGGTCCAAGTGGTCCTCCAGGGTCGCAAGGTCCACCGGGGCCACAGGGACCACAGGGACCCCCAGGAATTCAGGGACCTGTAGCGAGTGGTGGAGCTAACTTGAGCTTATGTCAGTTTAAGATTGCGACTAGTACACCGGTCACAGCCAACAGCCTGGCAGAAACTGATCTCATATGGATGGAACCTAGTGTGAGTACTGTTCACTAGCCAACCAAACGGCCGACTAATACAACCCCAATTGACCGTACGACCAATTAAACGACCAGACTATTGACCTTTTCACCTAACTAACCATACACTCATCTACCCACACAACCAATCCATCAAACACACAACAATCTAACCATTTTACGGACAAACTAACAACCGATCAGCCCATTAACCTATACTCGCCTGTAGACACAGCACTCACCCGCCCGCCCATTCAACTGGCATCCCATCAACCAATCAAACAACAAACTAGCTCATTCAGCGCTCGCCTCTCACCAATGCGACCCGTGTTCGATCCGAGTAGAGTTGTTTGTTGGTTCTCTCCTGTGCTTCGAGGGTTTTTCKTCAGGTTCTCCTGTTTTCCTCTCTCAGCAAAGATCAACTTCTAAAATCGATTTAACAAATCGAAGTCAATTTTCTATGGGTCTGTACTGTAACATGAAATGACGTCAAAAATGATCCAAACTCGACAAGTCAGCTCACTGCAAAGTTAGGATCATTTTTGAAGTCATTTCATATTCGAATACAGTATGTTAATTATTGCTAATAATCGAAAAAATTTAACAAAAAGACAAGTAAATAGTTTGAAAAAGCCGTTTCATCCGCTCGCTCAGTGCGCGTGACGGATGTCTTAAGCACAAGCAGGTCTAGCCTCTAATCGAAAATGGTTCCAAGCCAATCAGCGCGCGAGAAAGTTTCAAGTTATGGTAAAAGTCAAATTCGATGGAACGAGGCCCCAGGCTAGTTAGACACTGGCAATTATTAGTGCTAACCTCGTAAAAGAAGGATGATTTTCTACATTTTAGTGCCAACCAACCACAAGCAAGAGAAAATGTTCTTTTTTTTAATTCTATTTTTAGTAACAAATTAATGTCGTTGACTTTTCCAGGGTAAAAGAATTGTCGGTGCTACATGTTCAACAAATGCTGCTCTAGAGTACAATTTCAACTCGTATACAAAACCTAGCGGTGAGCGAGTTTACCGATGCATGTGCAAAGGACAGTCATCCAAGTTTTTCTCGAGTACGGGGAAGATGTACTGCTATCTTAACTACTGGGAGTGTCCGCTGAACTGATCCACATCTAGGGATGGTAGTCTTGAAGGAATGAAATGGAATACAGAAGATACTATGAGGATTAATTCTGTATGGAAGATATTGTAAGAGCACGTCGTAGCAATAGACAGTTTTAGATTGACGTTTTTAATT